GTGTGTTTTGAGGCGTCCCCGGGAATCGAGCATACTTTGTCTTCAATCTCCCCAACCTCGTTGCTGTTTTGAATCCGCACACAGGGGTTCGGGTGAAGCAACAACAGCAGCCACCAAGCGGGCCGAATGGGGCAGCAGAGAACCCAAAGAGTCGACGGCGAAAATGAGCGGCCCAGTTATGTGTCTCGCACCCTGTTCCCTTCCCACCGTTTTGAGCATGTTATCCGGATCCATTGCGCCACGACAAGGGACCGCGTAGATCATTCCTGATCACCGCGTCGAGGTGGGCTCGGCTGACGGTGAGATTCACCAGGATATCGTGCGGCCAAGTGTCAGATCAGCCGGATCAGAGGGGCTGCCAACCAATGCCGTCTTTGCCGGATCACGGGTGAATTCTATTTCGCCTTCGATCTAACCGTCCGTTCGTATGCTATGCACATCGCCGCCGATGAATCCCCATAAGCAAGGTGTTCGGTACGACTTCCATTCATGGTTGCGGCGGTACCTGCCGCGGATATGCCTGCCTCGTTAGAATGACCCTCGTCAGAAGACGGAGAAGCTGATTCAGTATGGGGAACCGTACATATGTCCAGTGCCGCTGTTTCAGCCGTTCAACTTCGAGATCCACTTCTGCAAGACATTCAAGCCATTCACCAGCTAACCATCTCTGGCTCTGCAAAAGCACGACCACATCAAACAAGGCATGTGGAGCTCGCAATGTGAAGCTCATGTAACCTTTGAGCCGGACCAGTTGCGTATCAGCGGCCGCCGATACTCGATAGTGGATTCAAATTGTGGAAAAGCGATATCTTCCAGACATGACTGGATACCTGAGGCTTCTTTTTCTAGGCCCCTGTTCAAGTGACTCGGCCTGACCCACCAACGTCCGCGTCGGCCTGCCTCACTCCCCTGTCATTGCAGAAATCGTTAGCGCACCCTCCTCCGCGTGGCTGACGCTCAGCGAGTTTATTCGTGAACGTTGCGTGACAGGACGTTAGTATCGTTTGGCCGGCGCCATCACAACGCTACCGGCGATACCATGAGATCGCTGCTACTGCTACACGCTCACGGCCTTGCTCACCGTATCCGGTCTACTCCAAGTGTCAGATCTCGAGGAGTCGCATCTAGTGTTACCCCGTTTCTTCCTTATTCAAGCCAGCAATGCGACTGGGTGAGGAGTCAATACGTGACCTGCTGAGAGTCTCCCGCGGCAGCACAAGGCTTGCTTCTGAAAAGTGGTCCAACATCCGCATACGGCCTGTATCCCACCACATGATTTCCACCACTGGGAATCTTCCTCCCTTCGCAGTGCTCCAGAAGGATCACATAGTCGCGATCGGCGCCGATCTATGCTCAACATGATCCGCAATTATAGCGCCAGGGGGTACTCAAGGAGAGTTTTGTTCACACGGCGGTCGATTCACAGGTGCATAATGAACGCAGGACCAAGCTCACCAGTTTGCCGCTGTCAATGCGCTGGACTCTAGACCTGGGATTATGCTGAAGCAGTGGCCTAAGCCGTTAGTGACCGTTGATGTTGTTTTTTCCGCAACGTCTATCCGAAGGAAGCTCTCTGCGGGCCACGAATGCGCAGCCCATCGACGATGTGAAGGAGTCGAAGGATGCACCGCAAGATTAGCCCGAGGGGCCCACGACACGTCAATCACGAACCCACGATCTCCGTTTGAACTTCGGCTTCTAATGACTAGCACATGTGAGACCCGGTGCCGCGGGCAGATCCCAAGTGCTTTCCAATGATTACGGATCAGCCTGTCCGTCTGAGATCGAGTTCGTGTGTCGGCACCCGCGCATATCTCGCATTCGGAAGCCCACCCGCTACATCCCAATCTGCAAAGGTCATCACACGCAAGGGCATAACCGCGCCGGGGTTTTGGATGTCGGGCCCCGCGACAAAGACGAAAAGGTCGCGAAAGGCTTCGCAGTTTGATGACCCAGTGACCCTGTTATTACTGCGAGGCACTTCAGTGTATGCAGCTGCAAAAGTATACTCCGAAGCTACTGCTGCAACTGAATATTGGGTGTGTTGCATTGCATATCGCCGAACAGCGCGCAGCAAACGACACTGCCGTGAGCAAGGGTGGGGCACAAGATCACTGTCACGGTCTGTCGGTCCTTTAACAACGTGAAACTGTCAGCAGATCCACGTTTATCGACCTGGCTGTCGGGAGCCGCACCGCCCAAGTCAAATGTGTACGTGGACATCACTCTATCTAAACCTAATCTCCATCAACTCCGGGTAAGGGCTTTTACGTGTGGTGGGCATGTAATACCGGTCGGGCTTATGCAGCCTGAGGATCATAGCATGGGTCTTTGTCCTTGCTTCCTTTGACCTACCCCATGTTGGTAAGCTCCGTGCAATCTCGATCGCTCAAGAATATGGGTTTTGTTTTTCTCTGCCAGACTGCATGCATGCGATACGATGTGCTCCGCAAGCAACGCAGCATGTTACTGTGCCGTGCGTGGAAACCGTCGCAGATACATTGGTACTTCGCCGACGACGTTTACCTGCAGCCGAAGGAAGGGGGTAGTATGCGGGCCTAAATTCAACGAGATGTAACGTACATCGCAATATCTGTTTAGCTTCTTTCCTGGATCATGTCGATACCCGAACCCAGTGCGGGATCTGCCAGCCTGCGTGCTCCAAACTTGATATGCCGCAACGGAGGCAAGTATGACGACATGAACGGGCCCACAACGTCTATCACCAAGGTCCCAGATCAAGACACTCCGAAGCCTCCACTTTCCGATACGTGACCGACATCATACTGGAACAACAACTTGGTCGGAACACGAGGAAGGGGTCTTGGTTACTGTACCAGAAATGCAAGGCAAGCAATATACCTGCCACTGCAATCCTTCTACGTCATTCGTGGGAAAACCAGACCCCTGGTAGAAGTAAGAGCACGCACGCATAACTCATTGCACTCCCGCACACATCCTGCAGCCCAGCCAGCCACCCCAGCTTACCCGAGCTCGGAGCCGCCGCAATCCCATCCCTCCCTTCCCTTCCCCCATCACATCACGCACCCTCGCTCTATACCAGGGTAATCTTATCATCTGCATCTCTTACCTCGTATATCCCACCAATTCGCCAAAAGGCTTGGGTCATAATGGCAGGCCCCCAGTCTACTAACTACTAACTTGGTTCCGGCAGCGGTTCTTCTTTTCTCTCCGCATATGCGCCGTTGATCCGCCCCTTCTGCACTGCTGCTCTCTCCACGCTCGGATGACGTGTGCCATTCTGTGCACCAAGCTCTACAGTACAGTGACGCCGGATGGAAGGGTCTCCGTGGAATAATGCCGCGCCTTATATGTACGCTGTACATTCGCTTCACCTCAATCTTTTCGTTTGTCTGGCGAATCGCTTAAGTGTACACCGTACCATATACTCATCTCGCTCAGTCGCTCACGCGCGCCTTTATGCACACGCGAATGCAAGCATGCCATACACTAAAGCCGCAAGCGAGGACTGCCTTCTCTATCTAGTCTGCTCGCTATTCGTCTCCGCATCGTCGATTTTCCGTGCGTTCATTTCTGCCACCGGCCAATGAGTCTTGCTGCATTTTGTTAGTGAAAGCGACGGTGTGTTGTCGGTATGGGTTGTCAGGGGTAAGCGAAGGATTCTTGACAGTCGCAAGATGATGCGATGCGGGCTTAGCGCGGATCTATGATCTGAGCTGATCGCGTGGGTACAAAGATGGGGCTGGCGTTTGCAGAGGGTTGGTCGTGATGGAGGGTGGTGACGTGGTTGTGACGGGTGGGAAGGCAGTGTGTGGCTCGGATGAAGGACTGGTGTATGGCTGTGTCGATGCCAGTGCGGTGTATTGTGCCGTATACGGATGGCGAATTGGACTGTATGCGGTGTTGCTTACAGGAAATACTCCGCAGTCGATACGCCAATGTGAAGTGGCCTAGGTCAAGAACACAGCCCATCGTATGTCTCTCGATACATTCTGCTAAGAGTGCATTTTTGGGCACCTCCAAGGAGACTAAGCAGAGCTCGATAGTACAACCTCTACCTTGATCATAAAACGACCATTAAATCAAGGAATGCCATTTCAGATGACGAAGCATGATATTCGCATCCCTCGCGGTACCAAATGAAGCCACCGAGACAGCGCTATCGCCACAATCTGTCGAGCTTCCCAGTTTCATGGATACATTACTACATTCATACCCAACTTTCTCTGGCCACCTACGATTGCACACGACATTTCCAACAACGTCACCTGTGCCATGTACGCCATGTCAGCAAGTGATAGCTTGTGAGTGTATGATTTGGTACGTTATGTGCGTGCTGGCATCTTACACCCCAAATTGAGACGCCTCGACTAGCGATATCCATAACGTGGGATGAGAACGGCAATCATGGGCACACCAACGACAGCGGAAGAGGTAAGATAATCACATCTTCGCTGTTACTCAACGTAGCTTTTGGGTTCATACTCTTCGCAGAGAGTAGAGTCCATGGCTAAGCAGGGGACAGATAATAGAGCGAATGACCTATTTGACATGCTGTGCCTAGCGGGAATGGCGCTGGTAGGGTCTATCACTGTAACGAGATAGTACATTACTGAGATAGATACATGGAAAAAAATAAGACCCGTAGGCTTTTTTCGGTACCCGGCTGTTTGCAGACAATTGATGGATATGCATAGTAACGTATCGAGACACTACAACTCGACCACTCCAAATACGAAGAAGTAGCACGCTCGTCCAGCAAAGAAATCTAAAGATGTCAATGTCAACCCCCAATTATATGCGTACCTAGTACTGGCGAGCCGTCTCGCTGGGATCAGAAGAGAAGGCAGGTGTGGAGTGCACGTCATCATGCACATATGTGGAGACTGACCACAGAAGTACAACGATATGCATTGACTGGAAGCCAATGTGCGAACCTTGATCAAGGTTATTACAACCGCTCATACCCGCCTGCTGTGCGTAGCCACCTTACGTGAAGGAGTGTTTGCATCATCAGACTACTCTCCACGACCCCAAATGTCCATATCCGGGAACCACTCAAAACCTGGTAATTTACCCGCGAAATCAATACCAAACTGTTGTTCACCATCGAAGACCCGTGTATAGGACTCAAGCATCTCCACGTACGCCTTTGTTTCCGCGTTGATGTGACGCACCGGGCCATAATGACGAAGATCGTACCTGGCCACATCCACGTCGCCAAATTCTTTGTCCTTACGGTCGTTGTTCAGGAATAGGGCAGCAGGGCCTTTGCCATCCGGTAGCTCAGTCGCAAGATCGGCTATGAGTTGTTTGACTGGAACTGAAGGCCAGCTCGAAAACACAAGGGAGCCTTCGTTGATGGCCAGGAAGCCTTGAGGATCGCTCACTACCTCAATCGGTTTTGGTAGCGAATGGAGCGTTATGCGGTCGAGGGAGGTGTAAGCAGGGTCTTGCGCAACAATTTTGATGGGCTTTTCGAGCGGTATGCCTTCTGCTTCATATAAATGGTCGAGATCGTAAGCGATATAAGAAGCAATCATATGATGCACTAACGAGCGAGCTTGCGCAATATCTGGAGCATCCAGAGTCCCCAGACCTATACAGACGATGTTGGAGATTCGGGCCGTGTGTACGAGCTTTCGAAGGCTACGGTGCAAGATCTCGGGCACGCCGCTGGAGCGCCAGTACCACTCGTACATGCCCAATACGAACGCTCGGGGAAGATTGCTGTAGAGATAATGACTTTCTGGTAAAGGGTCACCAGCTTTCAGATGCCTAGTGTCGACGTGATCGGGGCGTACTTCTTGACGTTCTCCAGACCCTAGAAAGAGTGGGAGCGCAGGGCGGACGTCATCAGCTTGGAAGATTTCGGCGAGTTCATGGATCCCGGAGTAGAATAAGACAGGAGCTTCACTGTCGGCGTGTTAGCGCTAGAATGAGTGTTTTCTTGCATGATCATAAGTAGAACATACTCGAGAGAAGAAAGATTTTCTCCTGGGAAGAAGAAAGGCTTGCCATAGCAATCCAACAGTGTAAAGTCCTGACCGTGGCGAGCTCGAATCAGTTGATCTGCGGCGTTGCGAAGCATGAAACGACTGTAGATCGGGCGGTCTCTAAGGGAATCTCTGAAGGCTTTGATGTCTAGAACTGTATGGGAACCGTTTGTGGATCCAATTCCGATTTCCTCAAGCACATCGGCGAGACGGTCGTGAGCTTGGAGTGGAGGTGTTTTGTCGGTTGAACACTGGAACTCCTGCCAGGCCATGGGGTACATACCCGCCCACATCGTAGCTGCTGGCATGGCTGAGAGGTTTGTCCCAACGGACGCAGGGCACACGCCCCATGTGTTCTCCATTGCTATTGATTATCGTAGTAATAGAGAATTCGTGATCGAATAAGACGTCGAGAACGATCAGAGTGGGTAGTTGGAAACCGTAACGGGCGATCTGCTGACAATAGTGGAAGTGTGGGACGATGTTGAACGATGTTGACAATGGGTTGATGGGGATGCAGAGTGTAAGAGCCAGCTGGGGATGGAAGTAAACATGACCCAAGCTGGTGAGCAGATGCCTCATGCACATATGCCACTGCCGCTGACGGTGGCGTGAGGGAAGAACAGACCTGGATCCATGGGCTGGGCAAGAGCATACCGCAGCGCAGTCGGTAAGCCCGCCGTTCTGCCACTCCTGCGATTGTGAGTGCCGATAGTGATAGCGTTGCTCTAAATGACACATCCAGTAGCCCTGTACCTGTCACAACTGATGATAGGTTGACACGGGATCCCTGAGATTCATTAAAGCCGCCTCGACTCATGATGGAAAGGCCCCAGCCACCGAAGCGCATGCGGTGAATGTTGCAAAGGCCACCGGAACTGCTTTGGTAGCCATCGGGAGTGTCTTTCGGGTACCTTCCGATCCTTGAACGTATCATTCATCAGAGGTGTGGCTTCCGCGCAGCCGATCGCGATGCCGTATGTAACCTCCCACATCGAGTAGAAGCTGCGAATGAGATGAGGACGTCTTCCGCGAAGACAATGAGCGAGCGCAACGCGTAAGACACGCGCATGCATCAATGCGAGTCTTCTGTGGACCGTCGCGAGGCGTGACTCCTAGAGTGAGGCTCATCGTAGCCGGCCTGGGCAAGCTCCTCGATCTTGAGCGAAAGCGCGTTAAGGTAAGTTGGGAGGTGCAACCACTCTTGAGGTGGCTGCTGTGTTGCAGAGTAGGCGCGCAGGGACGATGGCGCGATCGCGCGGAAGTGGGCCACTAGCGTCCTTTCCTGTCGCGTTGTCCACACGTGACGCGTCTTTTACCCTCCACCTGGGCAGCACCTCATACCAGGGAAAAACTGAACAGGTGCGCCGGTCTCCATTACGACAAAGACACGAGTTTTACCAGATGTTGGGGCAATATAATCTTGTTAGCTTTTCTTTCTAGATTCACTTCGTGGAGGTGGCTGTCCAGTTCTTCCCTCGGATGGGTGCCAGGGCACTTTCGGGTCTGCATTGTCATATGGTCGCAAACCTCATCCAGGCACTCGCTCACTGTCGAAGTGATTGAATAGACTACTCCAGACACATACTACCTGTTAGTATTTGTGCAATCGGTTGTAGCTTGGACGGTCTCGATTTTCACCTCGGCTTGGGCGTGTGTCGCCACCCGTGTGGCGCCTAGTATCAACGAAGAAGAGGACGCGCCTTTGACTTTTACTAGACTCTTGGCTTGGTTTGGTCGGGTTATGAAATTTATACCTTGGTCTGCGAGATGATTGTGATAGCTTTGAGGCGGTTCGCTGGAGTGCTGTTGGATGCTTCACCGCAGTACCGTGGTCGTTGTATCAAACTCGTAACGCGCCCGCTATAACATGAAATACATGATTTGAGCATTCAGCACTCCCAAGGAACATTGTATAAGCCTTTTCCCTTCTTTGAAGCATGGAAGCATCGTATACTCCAAGCGCAGACCTCAATATACGTAGTCACGAAGGGGCCCTTGGATACTTGTGATTTACCGATACTTAATTGCTTTGTATGTGATGCATCATTCCTGATAATTTTCTAGACCCCAAAGCAATATGTTGTAACAACAAATGTCAATGTCGTGCTTCCTCTGGCCGTTGCGGATGCTACGAGCGGAATCTATGTCCTCTGATATGCAACCACGGTGTACCCCAATATGGCCTTAACAAGGTATCCAATGCGTAAATGACAGTAGCTGGGGCAGCATCGCCATCTGCAGTGAGAAAAAGCAGAACCTTTGAAGTAGACTAGTACTCTGGCCATATTCTGTCCTAGCACGTCTAAATCGTTGTGATGTTTGGAGTGCAAGACACCTATGGACTGGCACATAAGCTGCGACATTCGCCTGCCGCATATGTATGTTCAGCTGACCACATATGAATTTATTCCAGCTCACAGCCATGTGCAGCGCTGAGCCTCTGCTTACCAACACGCGGTCTTTGATGTCGAGATAGCATATACAATGCCTCGTTTCGTGGATAGGGTCTTGTGTACCTGCGGCAGTTATCGTTGCTAGCATCGGCTACAGGTACTTTGTTAGTAAGTCGCTCAATCCTTTTGTTGAGACTTTCGCGCGCTAACGCCGTTAGTGTTTGCGTGCCTTACGCTGTTCCGGCAGTAGTTCTGCATACATTGTTCTGGGGTATTCAAAGACGAGATTGTGGTACAAGTAACGGATGCGACGAGGAGCGAGCAGCCTGGAAGTACGGACACGCATATGATGCTCGGGCGTCAGGGTCCAGTTGTAACTGGGCGAGACGCGTGCGATACTGGAATCCAGGTTTCGAAGCCTCTCGGCCTTTTGAGTTTGTCGCATCAGAGTCGCGTCGACAAGTTTCCTTTGCCATGTTTCAGCGTGAGCCAATTAGGCATGTGCTCTGGTAAGCAGAGATACGGTGTGGGCGCAGGAAGGTATATCCGGCGAACATCAGGAATGCAGGGAGCCGAAGGGGACTAGGGCGGGCGAAAACCATGCAGACCCGTGGGTGGAATAATCAGAATCTGAACAATTTTAGTGCAGCCAGCGCGCGTATATACAAGCCGCCCCTCCACGCTCCCTTCCGTCTATCTGCCCTCGCTTTTTCAGTTTTCCTGTATTGTATAGACTCTCCACTCTTCCGTTGGGGCGTCTCTACATCCACGCTTGATACCCGGGGTTTTCACCCTCTCGCGCTGTTGGGCACCGCTTACGCTTCAGCCGCCGCGAATAATTCCAGACCGTATCGATAAGCCCCTCCACCAAAAAGAAATCGCTCGTCGCAGATTCACAGCGCAGCACCACTCACCCCTACCGGCTTCTTTCGCAGATGCCGCACTCTGAGTCGCCGCCTATGGCTCCAGCTATTGTCGTCGACAAGGCCAGCGCAGCCCCTGCGCCTTCGCAGGAGGATGTCAACGCCTTCATCAGCAGCATCGTCACCGCAAAGACGTCGCACGCCTCGGTCGACGCCGCCTACGCCCTCACGACCCTCCTCCAGAACTCAGTAGGCTTCCGCGGCCTCACTGGCTATGGCATACTCGAGGAGATCAAGAAATCGGCGGCCAACAAGAAGGATGCCGTGCGGAGAGAGGGCGCCATGAACGCCCTCGGTGCCTTCTTCGAGCGCCTCCCGCGCACACAACGCCTGACAGAGGCCATCTTCCTCGTCCAGAACGAAGGGCTGGTACCCATGGTCCTTGACCTGCTGGCAGACAAGACTGGCTCCGTCAAGGAGTCGGCCAAGTACGCTCTCGACTCGCTGTTCGAGAATCTCAGCGCTGAGGCCAAGGTCTTCGGCCTCTTGCCTGTGCTGACCAAGTACCTGGGCAAGAAGTCCGGAAAGTGGCAGGGTGCTGCTTTCGCCTACGAACTCATCGGCCGCATGGCCGACAAGGCCAAGATGGGCATGGAGAGCCTCGAGGTCGAGAAGGAGAAGGATGTTCTCCGCGAGTCCATGGGCAAGAAGCTCGAGGGTCTCATCCCTATCGTCGAGGCCGGCATGCACGATCTCAAGATTGAAGTAAGGTCCCTCATCCGCTATTCTACAGCCACCGTACTAACCACGAGCAGGTCGCAAAGCAGTCTGTCAAGACGATGAACAGCCTCACTACCCTCCTCCAGAACGACGATATCGCGCCCCGGATACCCCTCCTCGTCAAGGCCATCGAAGACCCCTCCACAACAAGTCTGCAGAAGGCCATCCACGCTCTCTCCCAGACCACCTTCGTCGCTATTGTCACATCACCCGTCCTTGCTATGGTCACACCTCTGCTCGAGCGCTCTCTGAACATGCCTTCCACATCTCAGGAGGTCACCCGCCAGACTGTCGTCGTAGTCGAGAACTTGACCAAGCTCGTTCACGACCCTATCGAGGCCCGCGCCTTTTTGCCCAAGCTTCGCCCAGGTGTGCAGTCTGTCAAGGACCGCGCTTCCCTGCCTGAAGTCCGCGAGATCGGCCAGCGTGCGCTGGACGTTATCGAGAAGGCCATGGCCGACCCAGACCACAACATCGACAGCGGCGCCATCGCGAGGACACAACCATCAGATGTTCAGAAGGTCATCGAGAAGCAGATCACCGCTTCTGCCAACCTCCTTGACTTCCCCGGAGACGCGGAGGTCTTGGCTATCACCAAGAGGTACATCTCCGAGATGATTGCTGAGGTTGTTGATCAGCGCGAGCTTCAGCGCCTGCCAAAGCTCGTTGGCCCTTACCTGGAGCCTTTGCTCAACGCTGGAGATGCCGATAAGGTCGCAGAGGCCGTGCACCAGTTCTACGTGGACGAGGACCACCGCAAGTTCGGTCAGCCTGTTAAGGAGGATGACGGAGAGACGGAGATTGTCAACGCTGTCTTCTCCCTAGGATACGGTGGTATGTTGCTCCTCTCACACACCAACCTTCGCCTGCTCAAGGGCCACCGCTACGGTCTTTGCGGTCGCAACGGTGCTGGAAAGTCAACCCTCATGCGCAGTATCGCGAGCGGCAAGCTGGAAGGTTTCCCTTCTCAAGACGAAGTCAAGACTTGCTTCGTCGAGCACAACCAAGGAGAAGACGCTGATCTCTCTATTCTTGAGTACATCGTCCGCGACCCGCGCTTCGCGGACGAGAGCCGAGAGCGTATCTCCGAGGTTCTCGAAGAGGTCGGCTTCACCGCTGGCCCCGAAGGCAGGCAGTCCGCCAAGGTCGGCTCTCTGTCCGGAGGATGGAAGATGAAGCTCGCTTTGGCCCGTGCTATGCTTATGCGCGCCGACGTGCTCCTCCTTGACGAGCCCACTAACCATCTGGATGTTGCCAATGTCGCTTGGCTCGGAAAGTACCTCAAGTCCCACACTGAGATCACTAGCTTGATCGTTTCTCACGACTCTGGTTTCCTCGACGAAGTCTGCACCGACATTTACCACTACGAGCAAAAGAAGCTGGTCTGCTACAAGGGCAACCTGGCTGATTTCGTTCGACAGAAGCCGGAAGCGAAGAGCTACTACACGCTCTCGGATACTCAGGTCAAATTCAAGTTCCCTCCTCCTGGTATCCTCACTGGTGTCAAGTCGAACACTCGCTCCATTCTGCGCATGACAAACTGCTCCTACACTTACCCTGGCGCTTCCAAGCCATCGCTCACCGATGCTTCTTGCAACTTGTCACTGTCATCCCGAGTCGCCATTATCGGTGCCAACGGTGCTGGTAAATCTACGCTCATCAAGATGCTTACTGGCGAGACCGTCCCTCAAGAAGGTACCGTCGAGAAGCACCCCAACTTGCGTATCGGTTACATCAAGCAGCACGCTCTTGAGCACGTCGAGATGCACATGGAGAAGACTCCCAACCAGTATCTCCAATGGCGTTACGCCAACGGTGACGATCGTGAGGTGCTCATGAAGCAGACACGTGTGCTCAGCGAGGAAGACAAAAAGCAGATGGAAACTCCCATCGATCTAGGCGACGGCTCAGGCCCCCGTAGGATCGAGGCACTCATTGGTCGTGCGAAGTACAAGAAGACCTTCCAGTACGAGGTCAAGTGGTTGCACATGCTGCCCAAATACAACACCCAGATCTCGCGTGAGACGCTTCTCGAGAAGGGCTTCTCCAAGCTTGTCCAGGAGTTCGACGATCACGAGTCGTCGCGTGAGGGTCTCGGTTACCGTGTCTTGGAGCCCAAGGTCATCTCCAAGCATTTCGAGGATCTCGGTATGGATCCTGAGATTGCGAACCACAACGAGATCTCTGGCCTTTCCGGAGGACAGAAGGTCAAGGTCGTGCTTGCCGGTGCCATGTGGAACAACCCCCATCTTCTCGTCTTGGACGAACCCACCAACTTCTTGGACCGCGACTCTCTCGGTGGTCTCGCTGTTGCTATCCGCGACTACAAGGGTGGTGTGATCATGATCTCGCATAACGAAGAATTCGTCGGTGCTCTCTGCCCCGAGCAGTGGCACGTCGCCGACGGTCGCGTCACACACAAGGGCCACCTTGCCGTCAACATGGACCGTTTCGAGGACTCGCGCCCTGGATCCAGCAATGTTAGCAGCAATGTGAGCTCCGCTGCGCCGTCCACCACCGGTACTCCCGTCATGAGTGACGCCGAGGGCAACAAGGACGATATGAAGTTCAGGTCGAGGAAGAAGAAGAAGATGACCAAGAAGGAGCTCAAGGACCGTGAGGTCAGGCGTAGATTGAGGTACATTGACTGGTTGAACAGCCCCAAGGTATGTTTTTTCCCATTCCACCCACATCGATGCAGATTACTAACAATTTCACTAGGGTACTCCTCAGCCACCCAACACTGATGACGAGGCCGAGTAAATGTTGTTGCAACTGTTTCGGATTATGATCGCATTATGATATCTTAGACTATGCAGATTTGCATTGCTCGGCGTTTAATAGAGGCCTGGATGATTGACTGCATTTGCGTCACCGATAGATTTTGAACGTCTAGCTGCATCCTTATGATGAATCAAAAGCATTTCCTTTTCTTCAAGCTACAGTATTTTTCCTGATTTGCGTGAGTCTTGCTACTCTATATGAGCTGCCTTTGCCTATTTTGACATGTGAGCACCAACGCTACCCGGTAGGGTCCAGCAATGTGAGAAGGTACCTAGAGTTGATACATCATACTGTCGTAGTAATGTAGTTACTCGATGGATAAGTGGTGCGATCTTAATTGTGCTTCTGCGTTCAATGGTGTAGACGTATACTGCAGAGCTGCTTGGGATGTCGTCGCGTGCATTGTCTTTGCTGTTTAGAATACCCAATGCTTCAACTCCTACATACCGACCGGTCATGTTTTCATTTAGCTTCTTCACTCATTCATCAGTGTGGTGGTTCGATCGGTGGGTGCAGAGCACAGATTGCGTGCACTTCGCTCCTTCCTCCTTCACTATCTCACCAATCTCACCAGTCCACTGCCCCACCTGGGCACCCAACGAACACTCGCGCTCCGCAAGTCGGACCCTGAAAAGCCCAAGGTGAGTATCGCCTCTCAACAGCTTTTGCCTAGCAGGATAGCAAACGCCTGCAGCTGCTCTCTCGCCTCACTGCGTTGATATAAGCCCGCGTTTCTCTTCCTCTTTCCATCACCTTCCCGCACCACCCTTCTCCACTATCAACCCCTCCACACTCTCTATATCACACCCAACCACGACGACAGTACCTGCAAGTACGCTTCCATGAAGCTCATCACTGTCGCCCTCGCTGGGCTGGTGGCGCTCGTCGCTGCCTCGCCGGTCGAGACTACCGCCGCTGCTGTGGCTTCCAAGTATGAGAACGATGATGTTCACACGTAAGTCGCCTCGCCTTTCGCTGATATTCTTAGAGGGTAGTATACTGACTGTCAACAGATACAAGTGCGACAGCGACAAATATGTCCTCTCTTGCCTCCGCTCGGGCACCTGCTCTTTCGTCGAGGCGTGCTCCTTCGCGTGCGCCGACAACAGCAAAGGTGCTTGGTGCACCGGTGCATCCGAGAAGCGTGACGTCGATTTCGATGTTCATATCGAGGACAAGAAGACCTACGAGTGCGCCAAGGATCGCACCGGTGTCTTGGTCTGTCAGTATGGCTTCTGCCAAACTGACCACTACTGTAAGAAGGGCTGGAAGTGTCGCGACAACTGCAACTGCTGCAAGAAGCCCAGCATGTTCGACCGAGACGTCGACGACGCCGAGATCGCTGAGGCATCTCCACGGTCCAAGGACCCATCTGTCTCTTCTTCCCATGTAAGCAATCTCCTGTGTTCTCATTGAGCTTGAAGAGATCTGTACTCCAGACTCGGAATCGCTCGCATCTCACCTCCGATGGCTACGATTTGTGTCGCAGATCTTTCCAGGTCGAAGTATACATCGTCTTAGCAAGTGTGTACTTGTTAAGATTTAGTTGCATGCATACTGCAAACTGCGACATGAGTTCTTTCCACTCCTGACCACTACATCCTTCTCCCGCAATAGCACATTGCTAACAAAAGTTTTCAGGCCCCCACCGTCGTCGAGTCGGACACTTTGGCAAAGCGTGATCCTCCCTGTGCGCCTGGAACCTATACCTGCCTGGACTCCGCCACAACTGGTGCCTGGATCATGACCTGCGACTACAAGGGTGCGTGGCAGTACTCGTCGAACTGCGGTACTCTGAAGTGCCTCGAGCGATCCGATGGAGCCGCCCATTGCTGGAACCCGGGACCGGAGTGGAACACGGATCTGGCAGCCGCCAAGCGTGAGGCTCCTTGCATGCCTGGGACCTATTCCTGCGACAACGACGAATCAACGGATGACGCCTGGATCATGACCTGCGACTACCGGGGCAAGTGGGTGCAATCTGCCAACTGTGGAGATTTGAAGTGCCTCGCGCTATCCAATGGTGCCGCGCATTGCTGGAACCCAGGACCGGAGTGGAATACGGCAATTGCAGCTCGTGATGAACCATCGGAAGTTCCATCGGATGTCGCTCCATCTCAGTCCTGTGAGCCTGGAACATTTGGTTGCACCTTCAACTCTGGCACAGGAACGAGCTGGGTAATCACTTGTTCTCCGTCTGGAATCTGGTAAGTTCCGGATCTACGAAGTCTATTTGAGGCATATACTGACTTAGTACCTCTACCTCTGCAGGCTGTGGTCATCCGACTGTGGTCAGGGACAGACCTGTGATCTAGCAGCTGACAGGAAATCTGCCCACTGCAGGCAGAATGCGAAGCCTACCATTGGAGCCCGCGACGAGCTTCTCCAAGTCCCATCAGAGCTGGCTCCATCTATGTCTTGCTCACCTGGAGCGTTCAACTGCGCCTATAGGAACGCGACTCAGACGGAATGGACTGTCACTTGCGAGCAGTCTGGATCCTACTGGCAGTGGTCTGCCGACTGCGGTAAGGGTTGGAAGTGCGTTTCGGACGGTCGTGTTGCACACTGCGTCCCAAAACAAGCTTTATTCGAAGCTTGGGAAGCTTGGGAGGCCACCCAGACCTCCACATCGACTCTCGAGGTTGAGGCTTCAGCAAAGGCTTGAGCGGAGTCTGAGATAACAGAGTAGAAGGATGTGAGAATGAGAGCGATGGGTGCGCGCGGCCTTACGGATACGCCTGGTGGGTACGCCGACTCCTCCAAAAGCATGCAAGGCGCAGATGGCAGTCGCTAGTAGGGCTCTAACCACTCTTCATGACGTCGTTTCTGAAAATAACAATGAACGAGACACTTCCAATGCCTTGTTCCTTCTCTTGTGTTGCATGGGATATCTGAACAAGCGGTGACTGATCTTTTCGAGACCCGGTGGACGAATAGTTGAGGATGATGTCGTGAGGCAGAAGGATGCGATCGATCGAATGCGACGTCGCTAATGGTTGGTGGCGCTAAGGATCTTATGCCGCGGATCTGAAGCTTAGCAGCTGCACAATAACGGTTTGGCTGCAAGCTGCATGGTGCGCTACATGTTTTTGTGGAATCTACAGGAAAGGCACGCGAAGACGCGTCTATCAAGTCTAATCAAGAAATGAAGATTAAGAGCAAAGAGCCGACAGGAGCCCGTCGCGAGCAAAAGACCCCTTGGAAAACTGGCGGGGCTCACCCAGCACCTAGTCTCAGATCGACATCGCGTCCCTGCATACACTCGTCATACGTTAAAAAACAACCCTCTTCCAGCTGACCAAGAAACATGCACAGTAGCGCCAAACGTCGACCGCGAATTGTGGCTTGTAGGATATTGAAGATCTAGACTTTCCTTCCCTCCTCAGCTTCTTCTTCCTGCTGTGCACCTTCTACGAGTCTTTACTTTCGCAGATTGACCTTCCGCGGAGCTTCGTCTTCGTATCCAGGCAACAGCCACGATGTCGTTCATTGTCGAACATGCGAAACAGGCCGTCACCGACAAACAAACCAATGTCGTCATTTTCTCGGCCACGGCCATTGCCCTCTACGGGTATGACCAGGGAATGATGTCCCTCATCAACACGAATTATGACTACCTATCCACCATGGGCCTCGAGGAGGAGTCACCAGTCGTGGGTGTGATCGTAGCGGTTTACTACCTCGGCTGCGCTGTCGGCGCTGTGCTCTTCTCCATGCTCGCTGATAAGTTGGGAAGGAAGAAGAGCATCTTTGCCAGTCTGGCAACAGCTAGTTTGGGAAATCTGATCATGTTCGTGGCTGGAATGGGCATGTTGGGAAAGAGCACGGAGATCGCATTGGGCGTTATGCTTGCTGGACGCGTAGTCATGGGACTGGGTGTTGGAGGAATCGACGCAGTCATTCCTACCTACTCTTCCGAGTTGAGCGCCGACGACTCTCGTGGCAAAGCGCTGGCCCAGGAATTCCAGTCCAACATCTTCGGTCTCGTAATGGCATTTGGTATCAATTTGCTCGTCACCATCCTCCTTGGCAAGCAAAATCAGTGGGCGTGGCGCGTCCCCATCATCGTCATGCAGGTTTACCCCGTTTTGCTGATGGCGTTTGTTGAACGCCTTCCGGAATCACCGCGTTGGTTCATCTTCCATGACCGCCAGGAGGATGCGAAGAAGGCATTAGACGACATCTATGGAGATGAGGGCAAGGAGAAGCTTGATGAGCTACTCGAACAGCACGAGAAGGAGAAGGATATCAAGGTTGGGTACATGGATATGCTCACCCCCGGCCACGAGCAGTTCCATCCCACTATGGTCACAGTAATGTGCCAGGTCAACCAGGCGCTCACGGGTTACGGTGCAGTCAGTGTGTACGGGCCGCAGATCTTTGAGGTAAGTTGTGTCCATGATCAGAGTGGTGTGGTTTTGACTCAATACTGACATGTGAAAACAGCTCCTAGGCTTCTCAGTCCGCAACTCTGAATACCTCACCCTTGGCAACTACGTGTCCTACTTCTTTCTCATGACGCTCGCTTGGCTCTTGATCGATGCTATGGGCCGACGCAAGATCATGATCCACAGTTCTGTCATCCTCGCCACCTCGTTCGCACTTCTCGGTGTCTTCGGTGGCTTAGCAGCAAACTCTGAGCCTATGAACATTCCCATTATCGTCCCCGGAATTATTGGAACCGTTATCTTGTTCGTGGCCACCGGCGCCTTCGGAATCGGTTGGCTATCAACCGTGTGGTTGTTCCCCACTGAGGTCTTCCCGACCACCGCTCGCGCTCAAGGCACCGCTATTTCCGTCATCATCTGGGGCCTTGCCAACTTCGCCATTACCTTCCTCACACCTGTCCTGTTCAACAACCTCGACTACTGGATTTTCGTCGTCTTCGCTGCAACCAATGCTTTCGCTGGGCTGTGGACGTACTTCTACCTCCCAGAAACTGGTGGCAGGACTTTCGATGAGAACATGGACTTCTTCAAAGAGGCGGGCGAGCAGGGAACATGGAGGGTTGGTAAAGTCGGCAAGGGCGAGTGGAAGAAGATGTACTACCCTGATGCTGAAGGAGGAGATGCCGTCGAGGCGGAACGCGTACCGCTGTTGCAGAGGGTGGAAGACCAGGTTCCTAGCGTGGAACAGTCTAGAGAGCCCAGCCAGCAACGGGAACAATAGAGAAAGGAAGCCCAGCCTTCTATGACGCGGAGGTTTCGAGGAACCCTTGTGGCATAGTAAAAGCGGCGCAAAAGGTAAGGCATGCTAGTCAACTCTACTCAGGGCTGCGCTGACGTCATCATCTACAGTTATCGTATCAATTAGCATCAGAATGAACATACAATTTTCCTCCAACAAAGCTTTCGGGCGCATCAAGATGTTGATCTACATGGAGTTTCCGGGTGATGCTCGACGTTCTGCCCCACAAACTAATATACACGATATAGCCAACCCGGTTGCGGAGAATACCCGGCATCTACGTGATCCAAGTACCGACCACGAGCCACGACTATTAGATTGAAAGCGATCAAATCCCCCGGATACTATCGTCATGGCTCTGCATGCAATCTGTTTTCCGCGAGGCCAAGCGATCTTCATACATCCTGTTCATAAGTCTTGTAGCGTCCGCATTATGCGCGCGACATTTCGTTGTCCTCTGTATCGCCCGCCAACATGCGCTCACTAACGTGTGCAGTTGCGCTCTGCGTTTCTCTAGCTAGCGCTGTAACGTTTGCGACGGCGCAAAGAACAGGCTCACCGTCCGACTCGCCCCAAGACTCCGACATCTACCAGTCGTCCTATCTTGGTGGCGATCACAACATCGACCCCTCCGACCTCCCAAATTTTACACAGCTCTGGAACGCAACCTTCAACCCGGACGAGAAAGTAAAATGCCGTCGCTGCATCTCACTTCTGACCCGTCATTAACATCACTCAGCACTGGGCTCGCCCTCTCGTCCACACTCTTTCCTCCACCGGCCGCCAAATCGTTCTCACTGCGTCTACTGAGAATCGCATCAGGACCTTCGACGCAGAGACCGGCGAGCTACTGAACGAACGTCAAGTCGCTTCACCATGGCCAATGGACCAAGCATATTGCACGACGCACGTCAGCAAAACATTAGGCATAATGGGCACACCCATCATTTACCGTGAAGACGGCAACGAAATCGCGTTCTTCTACGTCAAGAGCTACATCGAAGACTACCGACAACCGGGTGGCGCTTACCCACCTTTGAACTCCGTTTACTATCTCTACGGCGTATACCTAGACACGTTGCAAGATCTCTACAAATACCCCATGATCATCGATGGCCAACCCTCCGATAACGATATGCGCAAGACGTTTCTGGGCGGTCTGGTCTTGCAGCGGCCCGCGCTGCTGTTGCTGGGCGATGTGCTGTATGCGGGGTTCGGCGGGCTATGCGACGCGTTCAACTACACCGGAAGTGTTGTCGCTGTTAATCTCGCGACGCAGAATACGTATACTTGGACAACGCAAGCAGGAAACGCGAGTTTGTATAATGACGACTGGACAGCGTGGCATGGTGGTGGCGCGGGTGGCATCTGGCAGGCTGGCGCAGGCCTCTCATCGGATGGCAAAGATGTCTTCTTCACGATTGATAATGGCGGCGGGTCGACTGCTGCAACGCTTGATGTCACACCGAGGAAGGGTCACGAGTCCTTGGGTGTTCTTTCGGAAACCGTGGCGCGTATTACTCTTGATGAGGCGGGTGGTGCTGGGATTCAACTTGTTGATTTCTTCCGTCCATCGGACTGGCAGACGGACTCTGGACAGGATATTGGTAGTGGGGGCTTTGCCGTACTTGATGGCGATGTTTTCAAGACTAAGAGTGGGAAGAGGATCGGTATAGCGACTTCTACGAACCCGAAGATGTACGTGACGGAAGTTGACAGCTTGGGTGGGTATTTGCAAGGTACAAACGGTACGGATGGAATCCTGCAGACCATTCCTTTAGAAGGCGAGGTCTTTGGGGCTATTGGATCTTATCCGCTAGAAGGCGGTTATGTCTACGTCAACCCCGGCAATACCGCTTTATCCGCGTACGCATTTACTCCGAACGCATCGTCCTCGCTCTTCAGCTTCGCTGGCAAGTCCTCCGGAACGAACGGACATTGGGGTGGTGCTGGTCTCCCGACAGTTACCAGCAACAAAGGCCAGCCTGGGACAGGTATCGTATGGGCCACAGATGTGCAGGCTGGACTGAGAGCGTTCAAGGCGGTGCCGGTCAATGGGACGTTGGTTGAGCTACCGCTGCCGAAGGTGGAGGGTGCGGTGAAGTTTGGACGACCGGTGTTTGGCGACGGTAAGGTGTATGTGATTGATGGTCGGGGACGCTTGATTGCGTTGGGGAAGAAGACGTAGAAGTAGGCGTAGATGCAGTAGTAGTGGTAGCAGTAGATGGAGTGAAAGAGAAAGGAAGAGGAGCTGGCTGCATCCACAAAGGTAGCGTGTCCATCTTCGAAGCACCTTAACGTGTCCTTCTGGTGTACGCAAATGTCCCGTCGCCTCAAATTCAGAACTCTTGTACCGTCTCCAAAATTGCTGCCTTGGCCCTTCTCTAGGGCTTACTCGGTGATCTCGGAAATGTCAACGGGTCTCTCGGCGTTAACAGCGCCATCCCGGGTGAAAACATCGAAGCCGCATCTCCAACCCGCCTCATCTTCGTCACACACTCCCAGGCAACAGCATAACAGCCAACATCGGTCTTTCAAAAGAGCGCGACCCGCGATCCTGCTGTCGTCCGACATGAGCGTATGTCCCGGCTATTCATGCCCACCAACGAGAGTGAACGCGCACAGACCCCCCGCCCGCTGCATCATGTCGGCTCCGAGGATCTCGTTCGCTGGTTCAAGTTAAACTAGTCCAGTTTGACTATTAGCGCCACCAGCTGATGTGTGCACAACATGTGCATGAGGTGTTGGTGTGAGGGGGCGGTTCTTGATATAAAGCTTCCCTAGACGTTGTCGCTTCCTTGTTTTCTCATTCAATCACCTCATCTCACAACCATTAAAATCAGAGTCTTGCCACAATCTTCGTCAACTTTGGAGACGCACAGGTCTTCGTCCGAGCAACATCTAGAACTTTGTGTATCTAAGCATATCTCTTCGGACCAATCACGGCATACGTGTTTGTGAGCAAGCAGCGAAAAGAGGCGTAACAGGACGAACGGGGATTATATAAACAAAGCGCCGGACCGACTTCAACTTTGAGTATCAACATCGACGTCGAAATCACAGCTTGCAAGAAAGAGAAGAAGAGCGGCACCATCCCATCTCCAGAACACTCCATCATGTCGACCACACACCTCACAATCCACGACCTCCTCCGCATAACATATACCTACGAAATGCGCGCCCTCGAAGCACAATCACACATGCAACCTCGACCGCGCTCGGATTCAGCTTGCTCGGTAGGTCTCCTCAAGTTCATGAACGAGGGACGCAGAATAGCGAGGACTAACAACACACAGATGCCAGAAACGTGTGCCCATCTCTCACCACCCACTCCCTCCAGCCCAGAACACGCCATCCTCGAAACCGACTTCACAGAAAAGTACTGTCGCAAAAGCCGTCGGGCTTGAACCGCCCCCCTGTCCTACTGTACTGTTGTCCTGATTAGAAGACAATTCGACATGTGATGACGGAGAAGACGCCACCAGCACTACGACCACGCTATCAGACCGCCAGAACGCCAGAATGTTTTCCCCGAAAAACTTAATCACTACGGAACCACACCAACTCCCTCATTTCGACCCCAATGACGAAGAGCGCATCATCGCTTTCAGTCCGCACATGGCGCTTCGCAATGTAGTGGACTTGGTTTGCGCGTCCCGGCGCGCATGGGGCATGCATGTGCATGATGGGTGTGTGAATCGGTCCGACTGCGGGAGTGATCATTGGCCGCGGGAGAGGGGAGCTGACGTCGCGTGGGGAAGGCGAGGAGATGAGGGATATAGGGTTTTTCGCGCATGCGCTTCAAGCGCTGGAGTCGTATGATGCGCGGTGGATGTAGCAAGGGGTGATTCAAGACTTGGGATTTGTTGAGTAGTAGTATTTTGGGTTATTAGAGGCGATGCAATATACCCCTTCTTTCTTCACGTAATTGACATGTCTTGAAGCTTGATTTAGCATGACTTTGTGGTGTTCCGTGTGATCTTTGCGATTGTCTACGAATACTAAGTACGTTGCTGCGCTTTTCTACAACCACTTACCCAGATATGACTTGCCCCCGGAGACGGCAGCTCATCTATGGTGCTCGCATGTATCGTGTCATCGAACAAGCCGCTTTTCTAGAGGGAGGTGCATTTGTTTTACGCCGCGCATCTAGCCCCCAGACTTGATAATATATCCATAACCTACAACACCAGATGTACAGAGGTCTTTTCGAGCCATATCGAAGCTCGTCTTAAGCCTGAAAAGCTTGCCTCTTGCACCAAAGCTCGCAAATACTATATCGCTTCTCTCCGCCTTCTAGTGGAGGCTTTGTCAGATGTTGATGATGGCAATCGGGATAACAGGAGCTCTTGCGCGCCGCGGGAGTGCCCATGAACTTAATGAGCGGCTTTTGCAGTGAACGCAGTATGCTGTCGCATTCCTACGCGCAGTGCATCGCAGACAAGTCTCCTCTGCTTCTCACGATATTGTAGCAGCTGCGCCAGCTTGCTGCATAATAGTAAGAGTAGCGGACGCGTTGTTGGCAGTGCGCGATACCGTAAGATGAGCTGTAAAAGCCCATCACAACAGCGCAAACTCTTTCGCAGATGCCCAGGAAGCTCGCTATGCTTATGAGCAAAGTATGAGAAATGAGATGTGCGTCTGAAGTCCGAGAAAGCTCTTCTAGTTGCTAGAGATAGCTGTGTGAAGGTTGTAGCGGTGTACTAAAGCGAGAGCGTTGTAACGGAGCTCGCAAAAAAGGGCAAAAAGAGACAAATCAGCAACAAATACACCTATAATCAGCGTGAACTCTCGACCCACCATACACTTCTAAGTCAGAAGTACTGGCAAAAAGAGGTTGGAGCACATAGGACAATATACTATGCGGAGGAATAAAAAAAAACAAATGGCAAAAAGAAATAACAAGGACGTACCTGATGCCCAACTCCAATACCCAGCCGATCCCATGGGGGATCGACTCACCGCACGTTGTCGAATTGCCGAACCTCAAGGAAACACAGGACGTACCTTAACCAGATCCTAGACCGCTGAGCCAGTTCGTTTTGTATACCGAGAACGGTCGCCCGGTGTGATTTGATGGAAGATAGAGGGTTTAATTGATATATATACCCCAAGGACCTCAGACTGGGTGGGTCCAATGGCATTTTGGATTCTGGGGCGGCAACGTGGGCGATTCGCTAAGGCGGGGCGACGACAGGGTTGCAGGGGACCTCTAGGCGACGAGGAGCACCAGGTCTGCATTGTACCGCTTCATCTGATGTTCGACTTTGTTGGGGTGGCTGCTCTGCCGCTTGAGACTCTTCTCCGCGACCACAAGCTTGACTCCCTCCCATCTCCTTGACTAGATCACCCTGCGCCAACGTTGAGCTGAATTGGACCTCGATTCCACGAGAGTTCTATCCCAATGGCCCTCAGTGCAGCTTGTTGTGGTGTTGCATCTCATATGGCTCGGTGGTGAGCCTTAGCGCAAGTTTGGCTTGATACTGCCTCTCCTCAACGGCAGCAACACCACCACCACGCCACCTTTGCGCACTCGAGCGATATACTATTGCTCGGGGGAGATTTAGCATCCAGCTCCTGCAAATAGAAGCAGCATTGCAGATGTTCAATCTGCCTCTCTTGCGGACCTCCGGGGCGGCGGCAGCGCCGGGCAGCATCCAGCAAGACACCCATCAAGCCGGCAACCACCTCGAGCAACCTGCATGATGTAGAGCAGGCAAGCGGAAATGGTACTCAACACCCTCGTCGCAGCAGAGGTATCGCTCATACAGCCTGCGCCCATCGTAGACATCTGGCGCAACGGCAAGTTTTCAACACCACTCGGTACGACATACAATGGTCAAGCGCTCAGCTCGCGAGCCTTCGCTGACTCTTGCAAGCCTTCAGGGAACTATTGGATAGCCTGCAATGCTCCCTGCTCGCGACGGCGGCGGTGACCCCTCGAACGAGATCCCCGCGATCATAAGTATCTCTCGTCACCTGGCGGCCTCGTTCGCACCTCTCGGACACGACGACTGCAATACACATGCTCCAACCAGGGGTGTGGGACAGTATTGCCAAAAGACAGAGCAAATGCACATGACCATCCGTGCGAAGAGCTCTTTTCTCAAGGCTGCCGGAAGGCCGCATTCGCCACATTGCACTCCGCGGGAGTCTCCAAATGGAGCAAGGGGCGTACAACGCCGTTCTAGCGGTGATTGGGGGCAGACAAGGGCAGAGACTGAGGAGGACAAGGGACATTCACACCCACTCCAGGTAAGGCAGGAGAGACTGTTACCTTTGGACCTCGGAGCGCCTTCGGAATGGCCTGCACTCAACTCGTATTCCCAGGGTGGAGGACTTTGATGAAGACGTAGGCTTACGAAGACTGACAGTGTTGTGACAGCAGATGCTCGACATGCACGGCCTGACCCCTGGCCCTTCCTCGAAGACTTGAGAAAAGTCGGGCGCTCCTTCCGCACAATGCGCGCTCCAGCCGTACGCTACCACAACTCGAACGAATTGAGAAGCCACGAAGCAGGACACCGTACGACCGATCTCGTAAACCACCTTCAAGGCATCTGCGGCGACGCGCCAATGGCCGTTGTAGCAGATGGCTATGGGGCTATCGCAGCGACACAGTAGGAGTCTGCATCGCTCACACGCTGGGGGAGGGCAAGACCGAGACGCCAAGGACCGAGGAAACATACAACCATCAAGAAAGCATCATCGTATGACCGGAGGTATAAAGTCGCTGCGAACGCTGGAGCTGGGAGACTGATATGCTGGCATCATTTTTGGGCCAGGAAAAGAAACGATCGAAGGACATCTCCAGGCGTCGAGGAACAAGGATTTGAAGACCAGAAGGGCAACGGTACAAGTGAGTGGTAAAATGTATGAGCGGAGGCATCGAGTCCCCTGACCGCTAACCATGGGTAGGGAACTTCCTGTTGCGCCTCTTACCCACTTCGCGGAGCAACCTTCTCTTACCTGAACAACGGCGCTCGACGCAAACGCAAGCGAACTGGAACTCTTCAATAAAAAGGATGAGATGTCCTGGCGACAAGGGCAAAGTACTGGTAACCTACACGAGGTACTATTACCTTACCTCGGCCTTTCGAATCCGCGAAGTCTGGCATGATGACTGGCTCGAGTACTGAGTGTCTTCCCTCGACGCTTGGTCCGAGCCGTCTTAGTTGTCTGATGGTATACCAACTGCATCGCAGCAACGGATCAACAGATTGAAGAAGACATACATGTCTTTTGATACATCTGCTGAACATGCGTGAGCGTCAAGACAGGTTCATGAACCGCATGTGTAGAACCCTCACGTTCACCATGGCAGTGTCTCGAGCTGCTCTGGTCCATGCTGTGGGTGTCGGGCCACAGTGCGCCCCAAATCTGCTACGGCAAAGCGTGAGACGAGGGCCACAGCACATCACTGCCGACATGTCTTTGTCAAGCCGTCTGGCGCAAAGAGTTGAAGTGAGGTCTCAGCTAGTCCATTCTCGCAACCGGCGACTTAAGGGTAATGATGACATTCTGACGCTCGATAACGGACTTCCCAGACAGTAGACGCCATTGTCGAGGCTCTACAATGAAGTAGTCAAGTCGAAACGGTGTGCACACGAGCGCTCCGCTTCTTGACCATGCTCGCTGTCGAATGAGGGTATTCAATCCCCAACTGAAAGTCTAGGTTGCGGCCGGCAACGACTCCGGTCCATACTTCTTTTTGTGCCAAAGAATTGGTCATAAAACGTTTGTGGTCCCATGTCGCATCGGAGTTGAATTCATGGCGTTGTGGTCTTGGTCTGTGTTGCAACGGTATTCCGGCATCGCAGACTCTCCTGGCCACAACGAACGCCGGTCAGGACGGGATTGAAATAGGATTCGCGCGACCAAGTTGGAGTTCAACCTGAACCGACCTGATTAATCGAAACACGGCAACCATCTCTGAGACTCGCTACCATGTGGTCTATCAGCTCCAACACTCAGTCCTGTCTAGGAGTGCTGCGAAGCATTGATTCTTCATTCTTTCCTTGACAACGATGCGGAGATGCATATCCAGGTCTTCAGTTGGTCTTTTTGTCGACAGCAAGCTTGATGACGCCTTCCAATGATGACAAGGTCGTCCGTAGGAGACGTCGGCGAAATGAGTTGTCGATGTTTGCCACGCGGTCAGCGCTGACCATGGTACAGCGACCGCCACCGTAGCCTTGCCACAGGAGGAAGATGGCGGTGTATATCCATATACAAAGGAGCCGAAAGTTTGCCAAGTTGTGAAGGTATAGGCCGGGTCGATACACGCCAGCAGTGTGTCCAGCTGCCGAACTTCCTGTCGCTATCGGAATGCACGAATGCCACAAGCATGAGGGCCTTGACGCGTCCTTCCGCTTGACTTATCGAACGCATGCGCTCTCCGATAGGGTCCGCGAAAGTTGTGACCCTTCAGGCGCGCAACATGCCAGAACTCGCCTCCAGGTTTCTTTGTTCAGCCGTGTTGTCAATTTTCGACATCGGCTACATGGCATATGCTAGTCGCCGGCAATCGCTCCGTTCGAGCCTCCGATCATCGTCGTATTGCGCTGCAGCAACCGCCGATTCTCGTCGCTTATTGTCGTCAGCCTAAAGAAGGTAGCAGTCGTGACACCAGCTTGAGCGATGGCGAAACTCGGAGGGAGCATTATCTGCTCTTTGACCACTCTGGAGCCAGAGTATGCGTCGTTCCTCGCAACATCCTCGCGTTTCCCATTTTGCCGCTGGTGCATAGCGCACTGCTCTTGTTGGCGTTTCTCTCAACTTTCCGTCGGCGAACTCGCCGGCGCGGGATCCAGTTTTGTGAGAGAGGCAGAACGCCAGCCTCCACCTTTGTTCGATCAGTACGACATGGTGTTCAGGCATCGTGACGGAATGGGATCGAGCGGCGTAGAGTGGCCGCGGGGTGGAGCTCTTGCGGATGGGCGAAGCGTCGGTATCGTTTCGTAGAATCGAATGTCTTCACAAACGTCGGTGTGACCAGAGGCGTTGCGGTTCATACAGCGACCAGCGTAAAAGAGGGGCAGTCGGCGCCGCAATTCAGTTGTGAGGTTGCTGCCGGTCAGTTTATCGGCGGTCGCAACGCAGTATCAAGCCCCGGAGCCTATCGAAGATTCTTTAGGCGTGGCGTGGTATGTACGTCGCGATCTTGTCCGTGGCTTCGGAGGTGCCCGGCGAAGTAGTGCGGGCTCTGCTTCTCCCGAGTGAAGGATGCATGCTGTGTGAGCTTGCAGTAACTTCCAGCCGTAAGCGCGTATCCATATAAGTGTCGGCATGGCAGAGGGGTGCAAAGCGGTCGCGATCTGAGGCTGCGGTTGACTGTCGCGGAGCTCCGCCTGAGCTCTCGATGCTGGAGGCTGATCCGCGAGAGTATCAGAGGCGCACGAGTGCTGCAGATACCTGGATACGCCGGCGCATCCTGTACAGCTGCTCGGACCGTCGGCTTGGTGTTTTTGAAGCCCATCGCATCGTCTGTGGTGTGAGTCGTTCTGCATTAGAAGCTCCTCCGTGCCCCTTCGGAGAGCATCGCGGAGCTCCCTGGCAGCGACTGCGGTAGGTGCTGCACCATATACGACCGGAAGTATCTATCACGAGAGGGGCGGCTCTTTCGGAGAGGCTTGCGAATTATGCGGTCGTTGTACGTTTCGTTGACGGGGGATGGTGGCGGTAAGTAGGGTGGGGATGAATTTGTGCGGTCTGCCGCGACTAGGACGGCCACTTCATGGCAGCCAAGACACTCCCAAATGCTTTCGCGACGCTGGACGTCATCGCCTTGGCCTACTCTCCGTCACGCAGGAGTATGGAGAAGGAGCCGAAAATGAACGGGGTCTATCAGTCGATGAGATCCTATCTGCCTGAGAAAGGGTCGTGGCAGCAAGACGCAGACTGCGCAGTCGAAAAGCTGCGTATGCCTAAGGCGAAACTGCTAAGGAGGTGGGTATCGTCGACAGCAGGACAAATGATTTCCGAGTATCTTTGGGTGTGGTGGCAGAGGGTTCGGCGCCTCAAGCTGGGCCGCCACAAGGAGGGAGTAGCGTTGGCGAGCACCCCCGCCATCCACTTCGAGCTTGGAAGCCTCCCCACGCAAGCGTGTACGACAGCCCCAAGACACGCAGAACCACATGTGCGAACATGCGGCGTTCATGTTATGCAAAACTGGAAAGGTAGGAGCTACTTTCAATACGAGACACACTACAACGTCCGCAGCAGACGCGTGCTGTATTAGCTTGATAAGAGAGACATGATCGGTATCACACACATTCAGTTAACGATGGAAGCGAATCAGATTTGGGCATTGGAATCGTTATTCATTTCCATGTTATTCGTCCTGGTCAGGTTCGGCAAACAGAGCTACCTGAAATTCTGCTCTGCCAATAGGGTTATGTGCCTCCAATCGTCCATCCAACGCCAGGCTTGCAAGGCAATCAATGGCCAGTATCGTACAAAGGAAATGGGCAGTATCGGAAAGCCAGTCCATTATGAAGACTAGGCTAACTCGATCCACAATCGCCGGGGAACAGCCACAGGAGAACCCTCCTCTGCTATCTCAGATTGTGTCCTCCGAAGGCAACACCATGATCTTGCCTGTGCTAACCGCATAGTATACGTGGTCTTGGCTATTTCGACGCTCATGGCTTCGCATACTGCTGGGTCCATTCCTGGGCTGTCTGGATGGCTTGTGCCTGGTTCTCCTTCCATGCCTGCGCAACGTCGTTCGCGAGAGGGTCGTCAGGGTTGGGCGCGCCCAAGAGAGCCTGGATCGAGAGGAGGATGGTGCGGATCTGGAGCGCGGGCGACCAGTTGCCTAAACACGTTAGCCAGGTCGTCCCTTTGCAAGGTCGGGTTCCACCTACTCTTGAGGACGTCGAGGCAGATGCGCCCTAGACGGTCGATGTTGGGGTGGTAGATCTTGGTAAGGAAGCGAACCTTGGGCGGCGTCATGGGGTAGTCATCAGGGAGGAACAGTTCGAGCTTGAATACGCCTCCTAGGAGACTTGTAAGCCACGACTCGAAGATTACTGCATGTGCAAACATACCCTCATAAGGAGATTGGCTGGGGCCGTCGATCGTGACATCAAAGTACCGGAGATTGTCGTCGTGAGGTGTCGCGCTGATGCCTTGCACACTGTACAGGTAACTGCATTAGTAAATCTACGGAGATTCTTATAGCGGACATGCTCACGGCTCGTTGACCAGGCGCTCGGTTTCCTTGATGATTCGCTTGGGCAGCGACATGATTGAAGGCGGGGCAGGACTCGTCAGCGGCAGAGGAGGGGTGATCGCGAAAGATATGCTTCACGAGTACGGAGTGCGACAGTCGTTGAAGCCTAGTTGGAGGAGGTAAGTTTATTCCTCCAGGTAAGAGAAGAAGATGCCGCGCCTTCGCAGTAAGAGCCACTGCGCTAAACCTCCCGGGCTGGATGTTTGACCTTGCGTAATCGGTCGGGCATGCCACCGACGTTGCCGAACGAGGCCTAGCCCAACAGCCGGCATCTCCATCGCTGGGGAGGCGCGCCAAGGGGCCAGGGCTATCACCAACATCAACACTTTCACCCTCGTCCATCGCGGCCAGGTTTGCCAACGCCCAAGATGGCGGCCACAGGGGGTGGGCCATCGTCAGCATTCAAGTCGCCAACGTTTGAGAAGGATGTGCAGATCGTGGTAGACGATGATATTGGCGCCGCAAGTATAAGCCCTGCAGGACGCGACGTGGTACTCGCTAGCAAGAATGGCCTGCGCATTATAGATCTGGATGACTTATGGTCTCTACCACTCGTCATCCCAAACCAGTCTTCATGGGATGTTGCAGATGTACAATGGTCTCCGTTCGCGGCACGCGCCGAATGGATCGCGTCGACGCGAAATCAGCTTGCGCTTGTATACAATCTCTCCATGCCTTACAACAACAACAAAGCGCCCATCGAATATACCCTGCGCGCACATGACCGAGCTATAACAGACATCAACTTCTCCGCGCATCATCCAGACCTCTTGGCAACTTGTGGTGTTGACAGCTTCGTCTTCGTCCACGATCTTCGCAGCCAAAAGGCGCCACTGAAGCTTGCCGATTATACCGCAGGAGCCACCCAAGTGAAATGGAACCGCCAAAACGACAAGATTATCGCAAGTGCTCACGACAAATACCTTCACATCTGGGATACTCGTCATGGAGCCAACCCTCTTTCTACCATTACTGCGCACACGACCAAGATTTACGGCATTGACTGGAACCGCAACGATGCGAATAAGATCATGACCTGCTCACTCGACGCGACTATCAAACTTTGGAACAACGTAGGTTTGAAAGACAATATAACCGTTCCTCGCCGCGTTATTCGCACTGATTACCCTGTGTGGCGAGCGCGACATACGCCCTTTCCACATGGCATTCTCGCCATGCCACAACGTGGCAACTCCTCTCTCTGGCTATACAAACACGTTGATGGTAGCGATCCTTCGACCTTTACCAACAATCATGCTACAGAATTCCCCGAGCACGGCGAGCATGGCCCTGCCCAAGTTCGTGAATTCCTCTGGCGCACGCGTGGCTCTACCGATGACGGATTCGACAACCGGGACTTTCAGTTGGTTTCTTATGGTACTGACAGGCGACTCATACTTCACCGTCTTTCTACAGAAGATTTGGAAGCGTGGGTCGGTCACCGTAAAGGCGAGCCACTTGTCGAACAGCCCAGCAGGACGCGAAAAGGTGCAACGTATGTTTCATATCGCGATGGACCTATTCCTACTACCACTAGTACAACCACTCAGGACGAATTCGGCCCACCTCGCAGACAACGCAAAGGCAACCTTTCCACTCTCCTCCAGAACTACTCACTGAAAGAGGACGCTTACGCTCCGCGCTACCATGACCGAATGCATCCTCGGATTCAACATGAGACAATTCCGCGAGAAACCATGACGGCTCGCCCGATTCGGCGACATGATCCACGTGTAGTCAATCACATGAAGTGGATTAATGGCATCAAATTCGGGAGCGACGGTCACAACGATATCAATGACCTCCAAGCTCCCCCCAACCATCACGACCGTAATAAGAAGCAGCCATTTCAGGAGCAGAACGACCTTGGTGCAGAGATTGCTTTGGTAGGCCACAAGTACAAGAAGCTTGCTTTTGAAGAAATCGATATTCCCCGGCGACGCATCAAGGTCTCCTTCAGCGGTCCATGGGGTGATTGGGATGCAGTCACAAACGAACCCAGATTAGTGTTTCTTCGCTTCACAATCAACTTCCCAGTTTCCTACCCGAGGGCAATCAAAAGGGAAGAGTCGGGCTCCGTTCTTAGCAGGATATCGAGTCCTTTGCATATTGAGTTTGAGAGGACGACAGCGGCGATTAGCAAAGAAACCCAAGATGAACTAACGAACAACATGCACCGCATTGCGGAAACCTGCGCAGACCAACAGCGAGAGGGCCTGGAAGCAGTCCTATCGTATGCGTTGGGTGAACGAGCTTTGGACGACAGCCTAGATCTAGCCGAAGATGACGACGCGCTCGCAGACCTTGGACCACTGCCTGGCGAGAGCTCTAGTGAGGATGAAGACCAGGAGGGCGAGTTCACTGATGACGTCATGCAGTCATCCCATACTAACGCCAACATACCTCTGCCGGTTCAGTGTACTGCACGATTCTCGGTAGATGGATCCCTTGTAGTCGCAAGGATACCCGTAGCAAAATCTATGCCTGGCGCAGATACCTTCAGATTCCAGATTACCAGGAATCTTAGACAGGGTGTTTCGAAGAATGACATCTTCGACTCGTTCGGCCGCTTCACAAATCGTCATCCGGGAGCCTCCGATGGCGCGTCGTCGCCATCCTCCTCCGTTGGATCATGGGAAACATCCTCCACCCTATCTTCATCGTCCGACTCCCACCATGCAGGAAATTCGCATATAGGCAACTTCCAGCCACCGCTTGCTTGGCAAAAATCGGCATCCCGCTTCCAATCGCGAAACTCTATACCCTCCTCCACTGGTGGAGGAAAACAGACGACTAAACCTAAGTCGACGGTGTCAATACTATTTTCTGCCACAGAGGATCTGGTACCCAGTAAACGTGAACTCGCGGAGGAATACAGGATCTTTGGACCTGGACCAGTGATATGCGAGCACAATTCCGAAGTAGCTCGGAAGTACGGCTTCGATGATCTCGCGGATATTTGGATTCTTTGCAAACTGATTTTGAGTAATGAGGTACCCTTGGAAATACTACCTCAAAAGTACCGGAGGGACCAGGTCCTTGTGCTCGCCCGAAGAGCTCTTGTGAGAATCAAACGCAAGGACAGTGGGTTGGACTTACAATTCGACGAGGCAGATACCGTGGCCAATCCTAAGCTCAAAGCTCGCGTAAAATGGGGACATCACATTGTCGTCACGTGGTTGATACCATCGCTTTTCGACCACTTCGAACGCCTAGCAGATACCCAGATGCTTGCTATGCTGTCGTGTATCTTTGCAGAACCTGCTGCTCGCGAAGGTGTCACTTCAGCTATGGCCAAGATGCGACAATCCCAGCTGCCTATGTCCATGGAAGCACCAGCGTTTTCATTAGACTACTTCCCTTCAGTGGATGCTGCGTGGAGCTTGTTCCAGCCCACGATTTCTGTTCCATCTACGCCATCGCAATCGCGTTTTGCAACGCCGGCCAACGAGTTTGCTTGGCAAAGACTGGCCAAGAATTTCGATACGTACGGCAGCCATGGAAGCTCAAATGGCCCGTGGGGCAGCGACCATGTCAGCTCCGATCCTGTTACGCCATACTCTACTGGTAACACGCCTCCCGCCTTGTCCAGGGCGTCTACAATGAGGAGTGCGCAGACGGCTAATCACACACCGTACGGAACATCGCCAGAGCAAAGTCACACGGCGCATAAAAAAAGCTCCACTGCAAATTTCGCAAGTGCTGTTGCTGCATTGTCGCGTCCTTTTGCGAACGCAATGTCCTCTTCGCCTCCAGTAAGGTCACGCATGGACGATCTCTCAACTTCAGCACCCACCAGTGGTGTTACTTGGGGCACAACCACATTCTATGGAAGCGACTCCCATGATCAGAACAATCTCTCAACCTCACGCTCAAAGCACGGCAAGCGAGCAAGCTTCGGGCAGTCAGAGCAAGTCAATGTCAACTACATAGAGGATTCGGATTCTGACTACGAGAGAGTCGAGGATGACGGTGGCGACAGACTGGCGAACTCAAAAGAAAGTGGCGCATTTGACAAACCTAAAGATGGTGTCAGTAACAGAGGGGGCATCAAGGTCACGCTCAAGAACCAAGATCAGTTCGATGATGAGGCATGTTTCAGTAGGCCACTACTAGACACAAGTAAAGACTGGTTACATCGGGCTTGGCGCGAGCAGTATGCTGAGATGCTGAGCCGCTGGGGTTTGGTCAGCATACGGGCCGAAGTACTAAAGTTCAACGGCCTTGTGTCATACTTCCCAGCTGAACCTCCTCGTACCGGCCTCAAACATGGCTCAGTATCGCTCGCACTAAAGACATCCGCCGACGAAAGCGGCGATGAAAAGACATCAAGACATCTATCTCGAGCTTCATCAACACTGGTTCCTCCAACACCCACCACATCGCAGATGAAGCGCACACCGGGCGCATCACCTTTCCACTTCTCCTTCAACCCCGAAGCAATGGAGTTCCAACCTGGAACGATATCTGGCAATATATCAGCAGAAGGTCTACCGTCTTTCAACACACTCATTCCAACAGAGCAGTATCTCCAGCTTTCAATACCCGTCCCAACCCCAACGAAGGAGCTAGACGAGAGTGTTGCCGGCCTCGACACGTCGCCCGGCCAGAACCGACTACAGCCTCCACCCAGCAGAGCGAGCCGACCCAGCCTTTCACGGGGCACATCAACCGTATCAGCCGGTTCGTCATGGCGTGACGGACGCTCGCGCACCAACCTCACCACTACATCCTCCAAGCCCATCAAAATAGAGCCCGTGTACAGTTGCAGTATCTGCTGGATCCGCGTCTCAGGCCTGTTCCACCTCTGCCCCTCATGCGGACACGTCGCGCACATGGACTGCATGGACGACGAGATTGGCATGGAAGACGGTGAATGCGTAGTCGGCTGCGGATGCGGCTGCGGCCTCGAAAACGACGATGAGCGAAGCAGAATGGAAGCCTACATTGAAGGTGTACGCGCGGCGAACGCTGCTGGTATCGCATGGGAAGAGGGCAGCGAGTGGTTACCCAGCGGCACTACAACGCCTGCTCTGTATGCTGAAAGCGCCTATGGTGACTTCATGACGGGCGGTGCGAGTAAAATGGCGGGTATGAATGGTGGCGAGGAGAAGAGGAAGGAGAGGTTGGGTGGGCGCAGTAATGTGGTTAGTCCTACGCCGGCTAAGAAGAAGAAAGGGAAGAAGAAGGTGAGGGCTTCGGGGTTGAGCTACTATTGACTGTAGGACTACGAGAGGAGATACCCTTTTCATTTCTTTTCCGTTAGTATCCGGCATTCTAGGCATCATGGCTATTCTGGCGTTTGTGTATTGCGCGGCTGTCCATTGACGGCCCATGTACAATCTGGTAATGTAATTCTAGCTGCATTCTGCTCAACTGACCTTGTGCGACCGTACTCTACCCCGCGCCCCTCTGGTACCCTCCACCTTCACTTCTCCCCCGCTTACACATTCGGTTCTCCTCTGGGACACCACGCGCTCAAATTTTCTTCTTCGGAGGATACTACTTAGATATCTTTTTTATCACTTACCACGCCGTAAACATCCTCAAGCTTTTCATGGGTTTCTTCGACAACGCTTGGAAGGCCTTGGACGGCTTTGGACAGGAAGCTGGAAAGCACGTGGGTCACGTCGCGCAGGAGACCTGGAAACACCTCGACGCTTTCGGTCAAGACGTTGGACCAAAGATCGGCCCTGCTCTCGGAGAAACCTGGAAACACATGGACGCCTTCGGTCAAGAGACTGGAAAGCACGTCGGTCACGTCACGCACGAGACCTGGAAACACCTCGACGCTTTCGGACAAGACGTAGGACCAAAGGTCGGCCCTGCTCTGGAGGAAGCCTGGAAGCATGCGGATGCTTTTGGTCAAGAGGCTGGAAAGCATGTTGGCATCGCGGCAGAACACACCAAGCAATGGATTGAGGAGCATCCGGGAGAGACCGCTGGTATGATCGCCTGTGTCGTCGCTGCTCCTCTCGGTATCGGGGTTGCGCACGGCGTCCTACGTATGGTGGGTTTCACGGCCAAGGGAATTGCTGTTGGTACGTGACAATCTCTTTGTCTTTTATGTCACGCACCCGACTGACAGAATTATAGGATCTGCCGCTGCTGCAGCTCAATCTGATATCGGAAACGTTGCAGCTGGAAGCGCTTTTGCGGTTCTCCAAAGCGCAGCAGCGGGCGGCAGTGGTGCTATACTCGTCAACGGCGTCGCCGCGGGCACAGTCACCGCGGTTGCTATCGCTGCTACGGCTCCTGGACTCATCAAAGCTATACAGGAAGGCAAGAACGAAGTCACTGTCGATGGTATCACGTACGAGATCGAGGACAAAGGAGAGGTAGAGTCCTCGCCACCAGATCAGTAGAGTGGCTGTGGGCTCAGATGGTGATTGAAGAGTGTGAAGATGCTTGGGCACTACATGTCGCTTGAGACTCACACCGCATGTTTCTTTCTTGTGAAGGACGACGTAGAAATACGCAAAAGCTTAGCCTCCTACTGTCTTGTGTCTTCTGTGCGCAGTGCAACCGAAAGAGGCCGGCTCCAAGTAGGTCTGGTCTAGACTCCCTGACGTAGAGTTCCCAAAGCGAGTACATTCCTACTGCGTGCTCCACGGGATCTCCCACGGCTTTGCGTCGCTCCCGAAACAAGGCTGAGCCGTTCGTGGAGCGGTTCACGGCCGGCTGCAAGGGTTCCGAATGCGGATAGCGTCGATGAATGGGCCTGCACCACGATCCCAGCCAACGGCTAATACCAACTGTCAGCCGTCGCACAATATACTGGACTCGAGTAGCTACCGGCGCATATCACTGAGCACAAAGCCTTGATGAAGAAAATTCGCGATTGCGCAGAGTCAAGAAAGATGCTGCAACCGGACCCCACGCGTGATTCGCGAACCCGATAGGTAAGGCGCTAATGACTAGCCGTGCATCTCCCCAGCTTCTTCTCCACTTTAGATACTGCTGCCTTCCTGCTTATCTACCAAACCTCCGGTGATTCTTCTCGCTTCTGCGTAGCTAGTCAATTGTTGTTTTGCATATGATATCTCGGGCCGCCGACAAGTTCGCCCAGCGACCGAACGCTCGCACCTTCCGCGGCAGATGGCTGAGGCTATCACTGTTTCGTCATCCTCATCTGTGCTGAGATCATCCGACACTGCTCCGATCGACGTCAAGCCCGCTAAGCAGGTGTCATCTGCATCATGTTCCGCGAAGAAGAAGGCAACCAAAACTTCCGATACCTCTGGCGTCACCAAGAGGAAGCAGTCCAAGAGCCGTAATGGTATGCTTCCACTTGTCAACTCTTATCGCTCACACGATAAGCGTAACTCGACCTGTTTCCACCTGTGACTATGCTGACCTGTGTATAGGATGCGTTTCCTGCAAGGCGAAGCGCTTGAAATGTGACGAAAGACATCCTTCATGCAAGCAATGCGAGAGACGTGCAATAACCTGCGGCGGTTACGCCAAAGATTACAAATGGAAGCACTACGACGAGTTGAACACTACAAGCAAAGCGCCCATCAATCCACGTCAAGGTTAGTCTTGACACAGCCATACTGATACGCATCTGACAGGCTTAGGCCCGACCCTCCAAACGCCAACAGCTGTGTCTTCGCAATTTCAGGGACAGTACGGTCTTCAGGAGTACCAATGCACCTTCGGGAACCCGCCCCACCCTGGCGTATACTACTCGCCGCAACAACACTCATACCCTTTCATGCATGGTCCGCCCATACAAGCAGCCTTTCCACATCCTCCCTTGGCGCCTATGGAAAACTTGCTCACCGTCCCGGCGACATCGCCATTCATCATCTCTCAGTCAATATCACCAGTGGAGTCATATGCGCCAGGTTCTTTGGAGCCATTTGGCGTAATTGGAGCCGAAAGTACGACTACTGTGCGGGCCAATACGAACACTGACTTAAGCCTTTCGTCAGGCCAATCTCCCCGAATAGTAGACCTCCTACTCCCAGGAACAGATCTAAATGTGCCACCGGAGGAGTACTATTCCTTTGTGTCTCAGCATGAGGCTTTCTATCAGCCCTCTGGTATGACGCCGCCAGCGCCATTGGATGACGATGTCGATGAAGAAGTTGTACGCGATAAAATTGATGAGTCTGCAGCTTGCGTGATGTGGCTACCATCGCCCGCGACACCAAGCTCATCAGGCTCTTCCTCAAATTCTCCCGACTTCAAGATCCCGGCCCAGTTGCAGTTGTCTATGACATCGGCGGAGTCACTCACACGGCGTTATCATAGGGACACGTGCGGTGTACTGTCATTGAAGGACGGGCCTACAGAGAATCCATGGCGGACTCTCATCTGGCCTCTAACGAGGGATTGTCCCGCACTCTATCATGCCATCGCATCGATGACCTCCTTCCATCAGGCAAGAGATATGCCTACTTTGCGCATACAGGGTATAGATCATATGCGGAGCGCCGTACATGCATTGGCTGCTGGACTTCAAAACATGCGTGTCGACGCAGCTATATCGACTACACTTGTTCTGGCCTTTGCCGAATCTTGGGACCAGCATATCAGTACCGGCATCAACCACATCAAAGGAGCTAAGATCTTGGTCAATCAAGCACTCATGAACCATCGTCTCATGCCAAAGCAAGGCGAAGAATGGGCTCGGCTGAAGTTTCTTTGCAACACTTGGATTTACATGGACGTTCTTGCTCGCCTTACTTCTGCTGACGAAGACGACGCATACGATGTCGACAATGTGAGAGAAAGCATATATGCTGCTGGAGACACCGACTCTACTCTTGACCCGTTGATGGGCTGCGCGCACACGCTCTTCCCTATCATTGGCCGGGTCGCCAATCTGGTGAGGAAAGTGCGGAGATCCGATAGCAACGGACCCACCATCATATCGCAAGCAGTGCAATTGAAATCTCAACTCGAGGAATGGACCCCGCCTTCTCACATTGAAGAACCAGAAGATGAGACAACAAGTCCGCAAGATGCTATCAAGACTGCGATTGCTTATCAATACGCAACACTGCTCTATCTTTACCAAGCCGTACCCGAGGTTCCATCCCAGCCACCCAGCGTGCTCGCAAACAAGGTACTGTGCGCCTTGGCCACCGTTCATCCGCGCTCACGTTCAATCATCGTGCATATCTATCCTCTGATGGCCGCTGGCTGTGAGATGACTGACCCAGATGATCGGAAATGGGTCAAAGATCGCTGGTCTCTGATGTCTACCAGAATGAAATTGGGGATCATAGAGCGATGTTTGGAGGTCACAAAAGAAGTCTGGAACCGACGCGACAATCATGCGCTTGAGCGTACAACCATAAATATGGAGCACTTGCGCAGCGACAGCTTCTCATCAGACGCATCCATTATCTGCGAGAACGACGCCTATCCTGATGATTACGACGTCGATCGCGACTTCGGTTCACGAGAAACACCGTACGGGATGCCGATACCGTCTGGTACCACAGACTCCCAGGATTCGGGAGTAACAGTCAAAAGCCGCTTGCATTGGTTGAGTGTCATGAAGGAGTGGGAATGGGAGGTCCTCCTCGGTTGAACCACAACCGGGCCTCCAATCACGTTTCTGCATTCACCAGCCATTCCAGCAGATCTTACATATGTCGTTCTCTCTTCGGAGATTTCATGTTCGCATTCCAAGGTCGCGTTTGCTTCGTAATGCCTGTTTTTGGAGTTGGCGTTGCGAGGTACAGGGAGCGAAACTAGCCATATCGCTCAACAATGTCCAGAATTAGGCTCAAACCGCATTCAATCACGAACCAAAAGGTACACTCGGAGGACTCACATCTTACGCTCCAGCACGGCATTGAGGCACTCAATGCTTCCAGCATATTACCATAATACATATCGACCTTACTTCAATGGAGCTGCATTAGCATCACACTGGGTCGTCCTTTTGGCGATAAGAAGTCAGTCCACCAACTCTCAGATATCAACGATTGTACTTCGTTTCAAAATGGCCCAATTGAGCTCACCGGTCTTGTGCGCTCAAACGATCGCACATGCGTCACCTGGGCGACCAGTATCAACGTGCGCGCACGACATACACTGCGTATTCCCCTCGAGGTGGCTTGCATGTTGATAAACTGTTCGAAATTAAGGCACGTCATTATAGGCTACAGTACTATAGTCATGAATACACGGGCTGTCAGATAGCAGCCACAGACTGTAGTGCCTGCTGTCAGAGCAGCCAACCGCCTTACAGCGCAGACGTGCTACAGAACGCATGACCCATGCTTGGAAGACCGATGATAGAGTTTGCAGACATATCCAATGCAACTAGAGTTGGCTCAGTACGTCGATCATGCGACTTGTCACATCCTACCGCAAGGTCCCGTCTGTGGCTTGCATTCCAAGTCGTCGTCATCCATGTCAGTCCTCCACCCAAGGAAGCTAGTAAGCTGCAGCCGTCCGATACTCAGCGGGCGTCTACATGAGCAACAAAGCTACCGTGATCCCGTGATCATGTTGATCAGGCATGCGCCGCCAGGGTCGAGTATTGGGCCGTTGCGCAAACAAGGTACAGCTCGGCCGATGTAACGTTGGATGCTTTCGGTATTCTCGCCTCGACTGCCGCGACGACCAAGCGCCAGACAGTAGGTATGACGGAAGAGCGGACTGAAGATACCGCATGACACTATCGTAATTCGAGACAGTTTCTCGGAACACACAGATCAGTGGCCTCCGATTGTGTCTCGCCACAAAACAATCCCACATCAAACAAGGGTCTTAGCACCCCAACCAAGCAAGCCAACTCAACCGATCCAGTTACACTACCACCTAAGGCACATGCGTCATGGCCAGGTCATTGATACCATTCAAATAAGGCAAACGAGGCAAATAATCTTCCATGGGTGCAGTACCCGTCGTCAATTCTTACTCTGTTCGGAATACCCTGCAGCATGCACATCATCAGCGTACCTACTCGGCAAAAGAGCCGAATGAGCACAAAGACGGCGGAAACATACATCCTAGCATTAGCCATATATGCAGGTACATTCTGTTTCGGAGTCTCGGAGACCAAAGAAGGACGATGACACAGCAAAGACAGGCGCCTGACAGCCCACTATATGTGCCACGAAACACCAACACCAACAGGCATCAACCTAGTCGACCACGCTATTGTAGTTTTTGAGCGACTCAACAGCGACATAGGCGTTTGTATGTAATGTGCCTGAGGAGCATTATTGGTGGCGTCCAGCACAGAACAAGGATTGACCCAACAGCAGTACATGACGGATCATGTGACTACGCGATACATTGGTGGCGTCTTTCGCCTTACGTGACACCTCGGAGTCATCTTGTTGGGAAGTGAACAGGAGGCGCAGCGGACTGACGTCGAGGGTGTTACTGTGAAGTGTGCTACGGATGTTGCAGCATGGACAAGCGGGGCTTTGATGGAAGCTGCTAGCGTTGAGGGAAGGTAGAGAGAAAAGCACGAATAACGAAGAACTAACAGGTGAAGATTTGGACGAAGAATAGATCTGAAACACTGCGAGAAGTATACAGTGCACTATGTAAATATCGTCTAGTCTGATTACTATATGCCAATCACCGCACCATACCATTAAGCCGTGCCACCTACATCTACACCCCAGCATCAGCATCATCCCCTGCCTTTGCCCTCGCCCTAACCTTCATATTAACCATCATGATAGTCTCAACCCAATCCCTCCCCACATTCTGCTCAACCTCCAGACGCTCCTGCAGCTTCTGGATGCGCTTATCAGACTTGGCCTGGCGACAACGCAGGAAGTGGATCGTCTTATTCTTGTCCTGAAGCTTAGCCCAGATCAAGTTGTCGACGTCTTCTTGAGTCGGGGACTGCACATGGGCAGCTTCCAAGGAGAGCTGGTGTTGCTGCTCTTCGGAATCAGCTAGTTGAGCCTCGTGCGAAGTAGTGGTGTCTTGCGCTTGGGGTAGCTGCTCGACTAGATGGGCTTCACGCGCAGTAGTCTTGTCATGTGATTCTGCCAGTTGCTCGGTTAGAGTCTGGAGCTGCAGTCCAACAGCCTGGATAGTCTCATTGGTAGCTTCAGCGTTGTCGCGAAACCTCTCTTTCAGCTTCAAAAGTTCTCTCTCCTTCGCTGTGAGCGCTTCAGAGGTTTCTTGGAAGAGCAGTTGGTTGAGTTCAGACTGCTGCGTCAACTCTTGGTTGCGATTTTGTAGGCGAGTGTTGATTGCAGCCAGGTTGTCGTTGTCCTCACTCAAGGATGCGAGAGAGGGCGCGAGGGAAGGCGTAGCAGAGCTTGTCGGTGAGCCCATGACGGAGTCGTTGCGACGGAACCGGCTGAAGAAGCCGGCTTGTTGGGGCTTACATGCTATTGAAGCGGACATGATGCTGGGTTCTCGGGTGGGCGTGATAGAAGTCGAGGGATTTCTGCGACGTAAGACGCCGAACAAGTGATACCGAGATGACTACAAAGACTCTGGGATCGAGCCTGTTGCTGCTACTCTGGAAGATGTATGCGGTACTTTGAGGTATAGTTTTATATAGAAGCATGTAGGACATATTGCATTCACAATGTCAAAATCACAAAACCACGAAGACACCACTGTACACACACTAAGAAGACATAATATGCGGCACACCACGCGATGGAATTTGATGCCGGAAGGGAGACATCTATCTAAAAAAAAAACACAAAAAAAAACTCAGAGGGGGAAGAGGAAACAAGACGGGGAATCAGAATAGTACCAAACCACCCAACCCATCTTCAAACATCTTTGAAGATGCCAGACCAGAGTTCCTCTCCAGGCCGAAGCACAACCCTCTTGGCGGGCACAATGTGCGTCTGCACAAAGATCCCGTTCACCTCATCCGCCATTTTCTTGCCAAGGATTTTCAGCAGGGCGCCGTTGGTGGTCTCCAGATCTTCGATCCGGGCGGCCGCAGCCGACTTTTCTTGAACCAGCAGCTCGACAACGTGCCGATACTGCGCTTCGATGCGCTTGAGTTCTTCGGCCGCGCGGCCGGTTGCGAGGGCGGGGTGCTATACAAGTAACTTTGTCAGTGCTGATCTGAAAACGGTAGAGGGGCCGGGAGGTACTCACGTCGCTCACGACGAGGATATCCACCTCTGCGGCGGCGATGTCGGCGTCATGGTGACCTGGGAGGTTGGTCTGGTGCGACATATTAGTATATGTAGTAGTCTCGGTGATGTTTTGCAGATTGTTTGTGAGATGTGGAGAGGATGTAGTCTGCAAAAGAGGTTCTGGCGGCTGAGGAAATAGGAAGATGGGAGGCGGTTGAGCAGTTTATATGCTACGCAGAAGATGGGATGGTGATGGTGAATGAGGAATTAGAAGTCGAGGTGAAAGAGAAATGGGCTGTCGAAGACGGTCAATTCGGGCTATACAGAGCTATTATGCTGTGCTCTCTTGAGCTGTACGTATGCCTATTCGTCTTCACCTACGGCTCTTGTCTTGTTCACTCGTCCTCCTTCCCAGTATGTATTCATGCGCCCTTCTGTACCAGCTCTGTGACTTGTTGTTCGATGGCCTTGTCGTCCAGGCCCTTCAGTGACAGCTTCCGCTCCTTTCCGAAGTCTACCCCAAATTATTAGCATCGTTCTCGTATGTCCGTGGTGAGTGTAACGCACCGAATCGCGCATATACGGTGGGCTGGGTGTTGCTGGCTTCGCGGATCATGATGGGGATGGATGGGTTGGCCTTCTTCATAGCGGGATAGCTTCGCATGAGGAAATTCCTGTCCAGTCGGTCAGCGCGGTTCGCTCTATCCTGGCTGTCCTGTCTATCCTGCTCTTGTGCAATGGCGTGCGCGTTGGGTTGCGCTCCTTCACTCGGTTGTCGCATACCTTGTCGCGGCGCTGTGCTCGCTGGTCTGGCAGAACAGGAACCTCAGCTCCTTGAGGCCGTTTGCGAATGCTTTTGACGCCATGGTAAGGACCGGTACTGGTGTGCGGGGGTATCAATCGGTGTCTGTCGTCACTGGGCCGGCAGCGACATTCAATGTTCGTCAAGCTGCCAGACCCACGCCTTACCGCTTCGGGCCTAAGGCAGTCGGAGCACCCCCATCGATAGTCCCGGATTTATCATCTCATGCTTGAGCCCGACATCGCGACGGCTCTCGCACACGACACTCGCCAAGGCCTCGACCTCACTCTCGACGCCCCAATTCCTGCTCCCACTCGAATCGCCGACCTCGAGAGTCCAGGACACAGCTCGCGATCATGTCGTTCCGCCCCGGCTCCCGCATCTTCAGCTCCTTCCGACCCTTCTTCCAACGCGCAAATGCCCGCCGACATGCTTCCACGGCGGGCGCTGAGCCCGCTGGCTTCCAGAAGTTCTGGAACAGCCCCATCGGTCCCAAGACAGTCCACTTCTGGTACGCTGCCTCGACACCATCTCCATCCTTACCCGCAATGCGCTGCCAGCTCCCCGCACTCTCCGAAGCGCATCCGCATCCGCAGCAGCAAACACCCACCTCCAAAACTCACCACACCCCACCCAAGCCATCACATAAATGCTAACACCCCAACAGGGCCCCAGTAATGAAATGGGGCATGGTCCTCGCCGGCGCCTCCGACTTCTCCCGCCCCGCCGAATCCCTCTCCTTCACCCAGAACTTCGCCCTCATGTGCACAGGCGCCATCTGGACGCGCTGGTGCTTCGTCATCCGCCCCAAGAACGTCGCGCTGGCTGGTGTCAACTTCCTCGTTTTCTGCGTCGGTGCTACACAGGTCGGTCGCATTTACATGTACAACAAGAGTCTGGAGAACACTGAGGGCCAGGCTAAGGGCGAGATGCTGGATGTTAAGCACACTGCTGAGAAGGCTGAGAAGAAGGCTGAGAAGGCTCTGAAGTAAATGTGGGATGGGAGGACATAAGTGCGGGTGGAAGGAGGTGGATTCTTCGGCTGGAAAGCTGGATCTTGAGTGCGGGCTGGTTGGGGAAGGTGATGAGCTGCATGTATATCTACTACTGGATTATGTTGGAGCATACGCACCAGCGTGTCGCTATGACGATTTTCTTTGCTCGAAGTAGCAATCAAATTCCACGATCAAAATCCTTCACGTCAACCTTCGAAAGTCCTGCATGTTCAAATTTTTTTTTGGCTCTACATTACCCCCCTCAGCGAAAGACGCGTCAGGTCAGGAGCATGCTCTCTTATAGAATCGACATCAGTAGTATCTAACGCGTTGTCGAAGTACAGTGTTTCCGACACACCAAATGACAGCAGCGCGCAAAAGTACATGTCCAGCCTAGAGCTGTTATTGCATCCTGTCTCATCTCCTCCACTTGCGCACCTTGTTCTTCAGCCCAGCACCCATATTACGCATGAACGTGTAGCAAGAAAATTCCCGCATGAGATCGCGGAGAGATCTCTCCTCTTCGCAACGCGTGACCTTCCCATCCTCATTGCTGCCATCGACACCGGACCGTTCGGGCTGTAGGAGAGCAACTTCGTCGGCATCGCTGATTTCGAACAGCGCGTCGGGGCTGAAGATGCTGAGTAATTGCATCTCTAGGTCTCGTTCAACATCTCGCTCTTCAGCCGCTCGACATTCCTCGACCACTCCATCTCTCTCCCACCCCTCAAGCGGCAAGAGAGCATGGTGAAGATCAGCGCAGTGTTGCAAAACCACACCGTCATGATCACGCGGCTCGATCACAGGGGATGGGTGTCTGAGAGATCCTCCATGTCTTGGTGGATCGCGTGCCCGTGCTACGAGAATGAAATTGAGACTGAAGGCGTGTTTGACCATGACCATACGAGGTACTCTCTTGATAGCATCGGCGGTCACCACGGACGGACTAGGTGCCACGGGTTCCCTTCGGAAGCGGTTGGTGTGTCTTCGGAATCTGCTTGGAACGTGTATGCGGGATCGTGGGCGATATATGGTGAGGGGTGTCCGTCCAGAATTGCTGACTGCGCTGTGCGAGTCAAGGCTGGCTGGAGGAGCTGCTGGCTGTTGTGTATCGTCTGTCTGGCCTGATTCGGAGTTGTATGGTGCCCCGTCATTGAGTGGACCGACTACACTGTCGTCTCTGGATTCGGTCGCCGAGCTCGAACGACTGCTGAAAGAACCCTCATCAGTCGTGATACTGTTCCTAGGTCTCAGGCTTTCGTCATCTGAATTATCAGATTCATCGCCATCCTCTATATCGCTCAACACGCGTACGAGTCCGCGGCCTAGTCTCAATCAGCCCAGATACGGCACGTCAAAGTTGAGTCAGACTGACCAAGAGGACATGGAGGGGGAGGTTTTGCTGGTACGACTTCTGGTTCACGATTCCAGACAAAGTTGTATTCACAAGTCCTACAAGCCTGAACTGCGTGTCTGGAGAACTGGTATACTGTCGATGCACATCTAGGACATATCCTACGGTCCATGTAGAATCTACCGCAGTCGTGCATATGGCGAGCTCGCCGACCTGCGTTTCCAGGCATGATTGGGATGCCAATTGACGTGTAGTTGTATGCTGTGTGCCTGGGGATAGATAGAGGCACCTGCTGTTGATGTTTTCGCGAAAAAAAAGCAAAATGCGAATACTCAAGTGCTGCCTCTGACGACTGGATGCCGGTGGTGAGGGTGAGATGAAACGACTGCTGCATTACATTAGAACGGTCCAGAATTAGGTCATGCTCTGCATACCTTTGATGATGTTGTCGATGGACCCCGATGCCAACAGATGATAGCGATAATGCTGTAGCGATAGAGGCAATGGCTGATGAGCGGAAAGTTGTGGTGGAAGAGTATAGCAGATGCCACTTTGAAGGTTACAGACCATCAGGATGGCATTTCGCACGTGCTTCGCGCTGTGGGAGTCGCAATGGCGAGTGCTTTCTGTCGCGTCGGCGTGTTGGCATGCATCCAAGGTAATCGCGTTCGAGCAGCGTGCGAAGCCCTCCAGGCACAATCCCACCTTTTACTCAATCATCCACCTCTTTTACATGTGCTCTCTGCCCGATTTCGGTTCGCCATATTCTGGTTCTGCGATGACCCATAGACCCCTAATGAACCACTCACGACTCCAGTAGTTCATGTAGATATCCAAACAAGAGCGGGCTTGTTGAATGATAAATACCGCAAACTTCTTCGGGGTCTTCCTCTTTCTCCTCTCTTTCCACGTTTCCGCGTCAGGTGAATGCCTTGCAACACCCAGCACAGCATTCACCACAGCAGTCTCCACAATTACTACACGCATCGCCCAAGCAACCTGTCATACTCGCAAAACACGCAATGATTGATTCGATGCACCAAGGACCTGCCAGCGTACAATCGATCCGCTGGATACACCGCGTGCAGCAGTCTTTCGGCTCGTCGTGCGCGGGTGTAAACTCCTCTGTCTCTGCGTTCATTGGGGTGTAATTCATCTTGAATGCGGGGAGAGAGTGGCGACTGCTGGATGAGTTTGGTGGTAGAGGGTCGGTGCTGAACGAAGGAGGAAGGAAGGATGATGTAAGAAGAGACCAGGTGAGCTTGTAAGTTAGGGTCGATGATGATGTATTTTGTCGATAGCAGAAACAAAGTAAGATGGTGATAATTGACACGTCGTAGATATATATTCTAACGTGATAAGAGCCTTGGTGAGCGGTGTTGGAAGTTTTTGATTTTCGACCCGCGACGTTCAAACGCGCTTCGCGTGAGGTCAGGCACGCCAGGCCACCCACAGACACACAGGGGCG